TCTTATCCTGTTGCCATGATGTCTCCCTATCTGACCATCTCCTCTCCCAGTGGAGCAGTCTGTTCCCTTGTTCCCTGCCTTGATGGACAGATGAAGGATGCCAGCTCTAGAACCAGGAATACAGGCATGCAGGAATTGAAGGAAATGTTTTTTCCTCCCCATGAAGATAACCAACCGAAAGAATGGATATTGAAATAAGTAACAATCCCTGCAGTTAAGAAAAGCTGTTTTCTTTAGTACTTAGCTACTTAATCTATTTTTCCCATTGATAGGTTAAGTAAATTTATAAAAGGAGGGCAGTGTTTCATTGTAGAGATAAGGCACAAGGCAGAGCAGACAGGATGGTTTGTGCTGCAGAGCTCTGGCAGAACTGCTGACGCTTTGAAGTCTATGCTACACACTCACACTGTGTGCTTTCCACAGGTCCAGCTTTCTTTCCAAGCCCAACTATAGAGGCTTTGTGTTGTGCTTCACCCTGTGATGGATTTGCTTCTCTTTTTTGATGCTAGAAGTTAACTTGCTGTAATCCTACTTCATCAGTATGAGGAAGCGTAGGAGAGTTTATGGAGAGAACATGAGTAGTGTTGCACACCAGCTGTTTTTAAAGTCTTGTATGCTTTGTATTGAAGGCATCACTCATTAGGTATATGCTGAAGCTTCTGGCAAGTAGTGGTTAGCAAGGGACTTTGGTTTTAGCTTTAGACCTTCCCCTGCACAGATGGATCTCAACACGAGATGAATCCCAACAGCTGCAGAGGGCTCAGTTTCTCAAAGTTTTTCCTAAGTCCCTACTGCTGGTCTTAAGGGCTACAGAGCCCCGTTCAAGTGGTCAGGATAATGCTAACCTCTTGTGGCGGTGTGACTAAACAGAAATATTGCCCATAGAAACCACTGTGGCTTTAGTTCCCCTTCCTCTTTTTCTCTGCCCAAGTTGCACCTTCCTCTCACGCACTGACTTTTCCCTGCGTTGCCTGCCATCCTTACTGCTGCCCTGCTTCCATAAGAGCAAAGTGCCCATCAGCAGTGGGCTGAGAGCTCCACACCCAGAGCTGAGCATTGTGCCTCCCCAGTCTGAAGGGATGACCTGCACTTCATGGGTTTAGATGATAGCAGCCACCTTCACGTATTAAAAACAAAGCCAGCACTGTTGGTTTCTCCATGATTATGTTGTACCTGTCATTACGCAGGAAGCCCTGCCCTGTCTTCAGAAGTAACATCATTAAACCTCTATATTTTAGTTGGGTGAGTCAGTTTCATTCCTGCTCTTGAAGTGTACATCTATTGTGAGTGTAATTTCACCTTACTGGGGCCAGCAGTAGCAATGCCAGCAGTATGAAGTCCGTTATAAACAACCTCTCTGCAGTACTCACTGTATAGAATTTTTGGAAGTTGCTTTAAGAATTTTTGAAGAAAAAAAGACTTGGATTTTTTCCTTCAAGAGGAATTAGGTGTGAACGTGAAGGTAGATAAACAAGTGGGTTGATTATTTGACCAGTTTGTCTCTCAGAAAGATGTCAGTTGCGTGAACAAATCTGTTAGTTTCTCCAGTAATTAGAAACTTACTTCTTACTGCTGATATTCAGCTGCATTTTAATGAGACCAAATTCTCAATGGAGAAGTTTGAACAGTCACGCTGGACGTGACTAATGAATGGACGTACCAGCCTGGATTACTCAGCCGTTTTGAGGGCCCAATGCTTGATGTATTTGATATTAGCAATTTGATGTTTGCCATTAATCAGTTTTTCCAGCTTCAGAAGCTGAGGTGTGACCCTACGTGTTTAAATTAATGGTCTTGCTAGCAGGAAAAAGTGGCAGACTCCATGCAGGTCTCTGGTGGGTGTTCGTGGGGCTCTAAGCTCCATATTTCATTGCTGGATTTGTGTGCTGTGGGTGCTGTATTTGGTCTTTATGGGTGTTTCCCTGTTTTTGGTCTGTGTTCTTAATGGAAGCATAACCTTCAGGGGCCATTGCCCCAGAATCTCTGCTCATCCTTCCTGCGGGAGCTTCAGCATCCTTGGATGGAGGAGCTCCCATCTGCTGACTGCTGCTGGGATTCAGAATTCCAGCCCCTGCTTCAGTCTCTGCAGAGGCTGACTATGCAGGCTTCATTCAAATGCAACTTTTTATGCTTGTGCAGTTTTGTTTTAGATAGTAAGAGGTTAAGATCTCAAAGCAATATGTTCACGTAAATATCATTCCTTGCCTATCTTCCCTAACTATTTCTGAGGTCTTGGCTTCAATTCTGTGATCTATCAGGAAAGTGGTACTTCTAAGCACCTCGTGCAGTGCAGTCACGTAGCTTTAAGAGCTTACAGCAGCATGAAAGCAATGGGAAGGCTGTTTCTGGCAGTGATGTTGATGGACAGGAAACACGCCATTAATTCTAAAGACCCTTCAGATAACTTTCAAATGTTTATCAGCTTCTGATTCCATGAAGTCTTCCTGAGCTGAAAGGTCTATTTGAAGCCTGCGTGGTGCAGCAGGTGAGAGGCAGGTACAGGCAGAAAGAAGAGACTGTTCTGTTTCTCCATTTTCAGAAGCAACATCAGGCAGCTGAGTTTAGAGGTTTGCTCTGCCTTTAGTTACTCAGATGTCAGATCTGCAGTAGGTTTGCTTTGAAGAGGCTCAAGAAGGAGAGCAATTTTGAGAGGAGCAGTTGCAGCACTGCCTGTTGCTTTGGAATTTCGGATTTCAAGACAGCACCTGGTGTGCTGCTGTCAGCCCAGTCTTGAGCCCTGATCCCAGAGGAAGCACTTAGGGTGCCTGGTTCTTGAAGGGATACAATGCAGCCCTGTGTAACCCAAGCAGTCAGCTGTCCTGACAACCTACATAGGCCAGCAACAACTGGGAATGCTTTTCTGTGGAGTGGGAGGAAGAAGGAATGAGGTGGAACTCTGTCAAATTTGTCAATAATTCAATTTAAGATGCTGAAGGAATCTTGGGCTCTGGCAGCAGGAGGTGTGGGGGCACTGGGTGAGGATCCCTTCTGGATGGCACGGCTGCTCCTTGGTCTCAATCTCAATTCAAAATTTCCATCTCCTAAAACAACTCCTAATTGAAGCAGCAGTTACACGTATCCTCCTCAAAGCTGTGAGGCACAGCTGGCAGAGACCTTGCTGTGAAACAGAACACAGCCGAATTCTGTAGGCAGAGGTCTTGTTTTCTGCCTCGGGTTTAGTCGTGGGTGGGTGCTGGGTAGGGGTAACCACTGCTCTGCACAGCCAGAGCAAATGGGATGCTGAGCCAGCAGCAGTGCTGACCTCCCGCCGGGAAATCCCAGCCCTTTCCTTCTTCCTTCCTCCCTCAGAATATATATAGTACACAGAGTAAATGAAGCACTCGGAGAAGTGTCACCCAAAGGCCAGAGCAGTAAGAGTGGGCAGGATGGCTCCCAGGTAGGAACGCTGACAGCACAGTGAGCGGTGCTGTGTGCTGCTGTGCCACCAGGAGTGCAGGCCGTAGGAGAGAAGCCTCAGACAGCAGTGCCAGTGTTAAGTGGGAGGAAGGCTCCTTAAAGAACTACCCCTGGGTCTCCTCTAACTGCGTCAGCACAGAATTGTTGCTTTTCTTTACTGCTCTAAAGTCAAACTGGTTAAAAAATACCTGCAGGCTGGCCCTGCTTTGCCTGCATCCAGGCACATTCAGGTCTCCCATTATCTGCTGTATTCTTCCTAGATGCAACTCTGCACTTTTTAACTGCTCTTTCAGCTCAGCGTTTTCCCTTATAACATCATCTTATGCCTCTCACCACAAGATAGCAGTATTTGGTAACCAAACCCAGTCATACAGCATACTAAGCACTGGCTATATGTCCTGTTGGAATGCATTCATGTTTTTGTTGTAGGAACAAGAGTGAGGAATGCAGCTACTAGAGAGCTGAGTAAATAGCCTTTTTTGTTCCTAACTTTTCCTTACCTGAGCTGTTCTTTTCATCTAAAAGCTACTATCAGACTGACAAATGATGTGAAGAGGAAGAAGTCAAAAGCAAGCAAGATAGCAAAGTTGCTGATAATATTAAATTGTTAAAAGCAACAGAGAAAAGCCAGTTGAAAGACTGCAGGTTGAAGAAATGATTCAGCGTAAGCGTGGATGTTGCTGCACAGGACAATGACTCCCACTCTGCAGGTGGGGTACTGAGCTCTGAGCTGTGTACAACAGCAGGAGAAATGGATCTGTGAGCTGTAATAAGGATGTATCGTGGCAACAATTATCCATTATAAACCTGTAGTCATACTTAGTCACGATATTTACTCATTTGCAGTTACTCTTCATAAGGAAGCCGTCTATTTTATCAATATACCTGCAGTTCAGACTTGTAGATTTGATTGCTTTTAGATTATGAATGTTGGACTTGTTCAGCCTTCCTGTCTTCGAAGGGCTCTTTTCCTTCAAAGCTGTATTAATTCTGCTGAATTCCAGGACGACTCTTCAGAAAGTGTAATTTCAGTGAGTGCATTCTTGCTTTAAACACTAGGCCTGGACACACGAGGGCTAACCACCACTGTTAGGAGATCTTAAAAAACAAATGCATGGCGCAGCCTGAAACTGACAAGCTGTCTGCCCCGAGTAGGAACTGTGGGGTTTGTGTTACCCCAGTTATTTGGCAGCTGTTGGGAGCGGCGCTGCTGAATGGAGTCCCTTGTCTGCTCAGCAGAGCCAATTACAAGTGTCTGGGTTTAGCCAAGGGGAAGTGAAATAGCAGCCAGTAACTAAGTTTAGTTTGATGGACACGTTTCTCTGACTTCACCCGTGCTTCCTCACATTGCCCCACACAGCAGTGGGTCGGGGCTGAGGAGGAGCAGGGCAGCTCAGAGTCCCTCAGCCGGGGCTCAGCTCCACGTGAAGGGCTCTCCCTGGTGCTGCAGTCAGGACAGCATGCCATTTTGAGCACTCATCCCTGCTCAGGACAGGTTTCTCTTGGATAAAAGAAAGCACTGGCTTATTTTCTGAGGCGTATTTCATGGAAGCGAGATCATAAGTATTGAGTTAAATATATAGTAAATATTTTTAAAAGGGAAACTTTTTGTTCAAGGGAAGAAAATGGCTGTGGACAATTGCTTGAGCAGCATCTCTGTCAGTGGCTGGCAATTGAGGCTGACAGCTCTGTGATTTATTTTTAGCTCGAGAACTTTGATTAAACCAGAAGCACTGTGTAGCTTTGGCAGTTGCTGCATATTCACTGTGGGTGGATGGAACTGAGCAGTCGCATCTGTGCTAACAAGCATTCCAGGATTGTGTTAAAGAATTAAACTCATGTACTGGAAATTGAAGCTCTATCAGCTCACCTGGGGAGCTCCACCCTCCGAACATCTTCCAGAAGGTAAGTAGTGCCAGCTGCCAAAAGATGCTTGCCAAAACGGCCACTTGGGCTCAAGTCCTGCCATGGCTCAGATTGATGCCATCAGATTGATGTTTCTTTGACTCCTGAAATTGCAGGTCAGTAAGTTAGACTCTACCCTCTCCTTCCAAGTTTTCCCTGTAACTGGAAAAGCTAAAAATAAACCTCAAAAAAGCTGGCTGAGAAGTAGAACAATGCGGTCATTGTTCCAGGTGCTGAGTCTAAGGAGAGATCCTAGCACCGTAGTGCTTCTTATTGGAAGTCATTATGTCACTTGGAAAACAGCTTGGACATTTATGTCATGTTAACTGCAAGGGCTGATCAGTTGCTGCTTTACATCTGCAGAATGAAACTCTCAGCAGCTAGGCTAGGTCAGTGTGGGTATTTCTGGCTTGCTTAGGGTTTTTCAAGTAGCCTTTCTGTAGAACAACTCTAACTTCAAATGCTTGTCTAAGACTGGGTGAGTAAATAGCATCCGTTTGGTTTGCGTAGAAGTAGATAATATCTCAGCTTTGATCTGGCCAGAATTAATGACTCCTCAGAAATTCCATGGAAGCGTAATTCACTTTAAGCTATTTCTCCCCCAAAGTACTGCTTGAATAAACCTAGATGACTGCTGTAAGCTGTCATAACTTTTGGCCAGCCCACCTTTCCTGTAGGGCTGGGTGACCTAATCCTTACTCTTTATAGTGGAGTTTTACTGGAACTCACCACAGCTGAGGAAGAATGTTAAGCACTCTTTTGATCTACATGTGTGTGGTTTCCCAGTTATCTTTGCTGGTGTCCCTCCATAGCACTCCTTTCCTAAAACTGCTCTTGTGGGAGTAAGTCATAGTCTACTGTAGGCAGGATTCAGAGGAACAAAAATTGGACCATCATCACCTCTGTACTCAATGGAAGGAGGTATGTAATATACAGCACCTAAAGCTGGTGGTCTCTCTGCTTCTTTGTGAATACTAGCATTGCAAAGCTAGGTAGCTTCAAATGAGCTGAACCAGTCCTTTGTAATTAGCTAATAGACATTTTTGATAAGATGTTCAGGATTCTGTAAGGAGGTTACAGGTGTAGTTTTTCATTCAAAATCTGTTGTTGTATATCACTTTCAATTGCATTACAACTTCTTTCTCCCATAGGAGAAAGTTATTCTTGTTCTATTGTGTGTTAGATTTGGCTTCCTCACATGGAGGCATGTGTCAGACTGGTGAATAGTGTTGTCCCTGACCACTCTTGATGCCCATGACAAGAAACACCTGCTGTGCTTTTTTAATCATTGTTAGGTCCAGCTCACTTGTGTTCAAATTAGTTCCTCACCTCAAAGTGCTTTCAAGTGCATATAGAAATCTGCATCATCTGTTAGCTGTGTATGTCCCAGAGTCATTTTCCTGCCAGAGTTCAGTGAGGACAAGAAATCAGAGGTAATGAGCAGGCAGTCCATCAAGTGTTTCTGCTGAAGGTGGTTGATACTTAATCTGCTTCGAAACTCTTGAAACATTGCTGCTACCAGATGCTTCAGAGGAGGTTCAGTCCCTTATGCCTGCACAGCCGATGAGCTATGAAAAAATCTGTGCATCTCATATTCAGCAAGGAATGGTCCAAGATTCTCAGATTAATACTTGGATGCTTAAGCTTGATTCATTCCAAATTCTGTATCAGAGCGATGTTTCTTTACCAGGAAGAAGCTGCAAGTAGGAAAGTTCTGCAGTGGGCGATACTGAGAGCAGTGGTGTGCTGTAAGAGTCACTGGCAGCAAGGAAATGTGCTGGTGGACACCACTGAGATCGATCTGTCAGTCTCTCCTTCCACCAGTAAAAATACAGCAATACCAGGTATCGCCTTCGTTTGGCCTTCCACCTCAAACCAGCTCAAAAACATCTTCTGTGCCACTACCCACTGCTTTCACCACGAAATGAACGCAGGAGAACATCTCATCCAGCTCTTTACCACGTTTAAAATAAATCTGTTCTTAAAAGGTGAGCTGTGTGGAGAGCTTTTGGGCTCCCCATGTATTTCACTGTCCAGTACCAGACATCAGTTGTTAACCTTTTCCTGTGTCAGATGCATTCTGATACCTGAGGGAAGAAGGCACGCCAACTTGGCTTGCAATGTGTTTTTATGATGAGGACTCCTCATGATGCAATGTTGTCACTGACTCTGATGCCTCCTCCCACATTCTGTCTCTCCCAGCCTGAGACCATAAATAGAAACCTATTTCTTGCCCATCCCAAGTGCCTGGCTTGGAGCTGTATTTCTTGGCATTATGCAGTGGGTTGTTTATGGTACTTAAACCTCACAGGGCTGTGGGAGGCCCAGAGACTAATTATGGATCTGTGCTCAGCTCAAACAAACCACATTATTAAGAGCCTGCTTGCTTGCAGGAGAAGAACACCTAGGAACAGCAGTTAGTTTTGGTCTCCTGTATCTTACCAGGGCCATACATGGGCTGTCCCAATCATTTTAAGCTGATGTTTTTCATGGCTGCACACATCAGCAGAAAGACTGGGTGGTCCATCGAGGTAAGGCCTCAAGTCTGTTGCTAGGGTAGAAAGTTCATAGGCCTGCTTCTGTGCTACTGAGTTATTAGACAGCAGCTGCTTGGCCTGGCAAGCATTGGTTTGCTTCTTAGGATGGATGGAGTACTTTCGGTTAGTAGGAAGTGCTCAGAGTTGGTTTCAGAAACAAAGCTACTGTAGGGTTTGATAGTGTTCCAAACCTGTCAGCAAAATAGGAAACCCTCTTGCTGCTGTTATCAATTTTGTGTCCTCATCTTCATTAATGCAGAAGACCTCCCACTAAAGCAGGTTGAAGCTCCTGAAGCCTAGCACACGAAGTGATGTGTGTTTGGAGGATGCAGTGGAAAATGGCAGTTATACCAGGAACCATTCGTGACTTGACAGTCCGGTTCCTGTGGTCCAGGCCCATTAATGCCTACACTTTGTTACTCTGTTAGTCTTAGCAGCAAGAGTATGAAGTGAGGCTGGGTAAAGTAGTAGCATGGATTGATACTTGGTTTGAAAACCCCAAGTAGAAATAAAGTGAAAGATGTGGATGCACATGGGGATCTTGGTGGCCTTGTGTTCATAAAACAAAGAAAGGAAACCCAGAACACCCACACTGTGCTTCTTGGTATTAAAAGCTAGTGTCAAAGTGACGCTGTCCTGTAGCTCTTGGCCTCTCTTCCTTCCTACAAAGAAGTCATGTTGGCCTGCTGCCAGCAGCACCAAACCCCTCAGAGCTGCATTTGCTATTTGCACTTCTTTTGTTTGATTAGGAGACATCGACAGCCCGAATCTTCCAGATGTAGCAAGTTTTAGAAGCTGCTCATACTACTTATTTCAAAGTAGTGCAGTCAGCAAGATTTCCTTACATTAAAAGCAGTACCTCAGAAAGGAGGATTTAAGTGGTAGAGGAAGGTTAACCATGCTCAGGAAACAGCTTTGAAGGGCACAGCAGGGAATAGCCCGAGGAGCTGAGAAGAGCTGCTCTGCCTGAAAGGCTGCTGCTTCGGTCAAACAAGTTGAGTGTACCAGAATTCATGTCTTACATTGTGCACTTAGTGTGAAGGGAATAGGAACAGGATGTTTGCTGTGGATGCAGATGTCAAAGCGATGGTCTACACAGTAGAATAACTATCCAGCAATCAGTTTGAAAGAAATGATGCTTATCCTGATGTTCAGAAGAAGTCTGGTTTCATTCTGCCTGGCTGCACATGCCAGGCCTTTACAAACCTCCCCACTGTGCAGGGTCACTGGTGCCCTGCCCACACCAGTGCTGGCTGCCCCAAGCTCACCTACAGACCTGCTGGCCATCACAGCTCAGAGAGGCTACAGACAGCACACTCAGTGCCTGTGCTTCCATGCTGCATTTGTAACCCAGATTCATTATCTTCTAATCCTTCCTTGCTCCAGAGATACCACTTACACATCTGTTGTATTGTAACAAGCAGGCTAATAACTATTTTGTTTGTTAAACTACTGCAGCTGATACTAATTGAGCAATAAATTAATATGTAGCTTTTCATTTCCCTACACCATTTCAGACCCACCTGAAAAGCTTATTTGCTGCAATTATTTGCTCTGCATTTCTCTCACATTGTTATTCTTTGTGTATTAATAAATGCAATATTTCAAATGCCAGCGTAATTAAGAACATTCAGAGCACACAAGAGAGAGAAGACAAACTGCAAGAGGAAGAACAAACAGGAAAAAGATAGCCTGGGGGTTCAGAGGTAAAAGCATCTCAACCTCCAGCTGCTGGGTAGCATGCAGCAGGATTCACAGAGCTTTGTTTTGGAGGAGAAGGAAAGGATGCATCTCAGCTGTCAGAAGAACTTTTGGAGGCCAACTGTATGTAGGCGTTCTAATATATTCTGTCTGGTTTCAATTTCCACTTCATTAGTGATAGTGGAGAGGGGAAAAACTCACAGTACAGCTCACACAGGGAGAAGTAACTCTTTGCACAGCCTGCATCCAGCCTACACCTGTTCTGTAGTGACTCCACACCTACAGCCTTACAAAACACAAACACTTCTAACAAGCCCAACTGCTCATTTCTTACCTTCAGTCTGAGCTGTGCCCTCATCACATGAAGCTGCTGCCTTCCTCACAGAGCTCGTGGCTGTAGAAATGCTGCTCTTGGCTGGTGAGCTGTAACAGCTTCTACCCCTCTACAAAAAGCCAGAGCACTTGCTGCCCTTCCCCTGCTGCCTTTTATGCCCTTCTGCAGGCCCACCAGCATCCCAGCTGTGGGACTGCCACAGGTGATTGCTTGTGTTTTAACCCTTCCTCCTCTGCATTAGAAGAAGTCTGTTCTGCTACCAGCCCTAGAGGCTGCTAGAGAACTGGGGCTCCTGAGGACTCCCCCAAATAGATCTCATGTTTGTGACAGGTAATTTGATGGTGCCCTTTCAGAGAGCTGACCTGAACCTTACTGGGTGAGCAGCTACGCAGCTCAGACTGGGCGTGCTGTGCTGTGCTGCCTCTGCTTGCTGTTCCTCTCTGAAATGTTCAGCAGCATTTTCTCTTTCAATGCTCATTCATCTGTTAATATTTTGACTCGCATCACTTCTGCTTAGTTTATGTGAATGGTGCTCGTGCACTGGCATGGATGTGGAGTGGAAAAATGAATCAATCTGGGCAGTCCCCTTCACGAAGGATCTGTTTGGCAGTTTGCACAAAGGAATTTCTCCAAGGAAACGGTTTGTTTTCTTCCCAACGCTTTGCTGCCTGACTCAGAGCAACACAGCTCTACAGCTCATGTCAAAATTGCTTCCCCCCGCAGTCCAGCCTCCGCATCCCTCGTTTGTTCAGAGCTCTCTGGGAAGCTCCACCCTTCCTAACCAAATAACCACAGCTCCCTCACTCCTCCACCCCGTAGGCTGCGCTTGCTTTTCCATTGGCTGCCAGTACGATCTGCACGTGGAGGCAGCCCAGCACTTCTCGTGGCAGTTAGTTGGCCTTCTGCTTGCTGTGCAGCAGGCATGACTGTGGGCACGGTCCTGTTCCAGCCCAGCAGCTATGGCAAAGAGAACAAGCTGCTCTGCTGCCTTGGCAACGATGCCTCTGAGCCTGCTGGGTCGAGCTTCACAGGTAGGATGCTTAGGGAGATTGCAGTGTGCCCTCCTGTTCCTGTACTGCCCTGGCTTAAAGGAGGGTGTGGAACCTCTCAGCTCTTTGTCTTGTGTGGGAGCAGGACTGAGATTGCCTGCTTTTATTCGGGATTATCAAAATGCTTTGTTTCTACAAGCGTTAGTGGTTCAGAAACACAGACCATCAGCGCCTGATCGGTTCTGCTATGGGAGATGAGGTGTATGCTGGGCTCTCATTCTGCTCTTGAACTGAAGAGATCCGTAATTGTAGCCTCAGTGGCACAGGGTGGGAGGCAAAATGTCTCTTGGTGGTGGTGACTGAATAGGAAAGCATTCATGTCCGGAGGGAAGCAAAGTGTACTGTGGGAATAAAGCAGAGGAAGGAGGTGGCTGAAGCATAACCTTCCTTGTAGAATAAATGATGATGTAAGTTCTCAACTGTGTAGGAAATGAAAGCGATCACATATGATTTATGGTTAGGCTTTGAGTTGATGTCAAAGAGAACTTCCCAGTTCACTTCCTCGCCCTTGGTGTGACCAGAGCTCACAGCCTGTTCAGTGTGAGGCGTGTCCTTTGTGGTGTCGTTTGGCTATCTAAGTTTCCTTACTGAGCTCTTTGTGATTACCGTATTGAACTCAGCTTGCTTATCCTTGCACAGGGATGGCATGGATCCCACGCTGCACTGAGCACCGTAGGTTATTAGGGATTGGATGCCTGGTATATGAGTTGGGCTAGCTTGGAATTGTAAGTCATACATTGGTTGTGAAATAAAACAAGCATATGTGTTTTTGTTTGAAGCTTTTGCTGTTTCAGCAGCTGTACAATTGAAAGGAAGAAGTAACTTAAACACCATTAAGGTATTTCAGAGCAGAAAAGTCAGGATGGTTTTTGGAAGCTGCCTGCTTTTGTATTTGCTGCTTGTAGCCAGCAGGGAAGCACTACTCAGGTTCTCTGTGCAGCACACTTGGTGAGCTGCTTTGCTCAAGGCACCAAACCCCTGCTTTTCTAACACGAGGCCTTGTTGCAGTATAAAGAATGTGTTATTTAATTAACCATCTATTTGTGCTCTACAAAGAGAGCTGGATTTAGGAACCACTTTAGGAACCACTGTCCTTTTCTGTTGCCACTTAAGCTGTTCCTGATGCATAATAACTGCACGTGCACAAACCCAGCCCTAAAAAGCAGCAGCCTGTGCTGACAGCACAGCATTATTACTCTTTATCTGACAGGCTGGGATGTTGGTAATTGCAGGTGATAGTTAAGAACAAGAAATACAGAAATACTGCATCTGCAGAAAACGAAGCCATACTTCGGTAGCTGTGGCTCTGTCACTTTTGCTCTTGCCAGGAGAACCTTGATAGAGTGGCACTTTGTCATGGCTGGGAAGCAAGTTATTTGAGCAGTGTGATTACCAGAAATGCAGGCAAAAGCCACTTAGCCGCGTGTTTGGGAACAAACTAACAAACCTCAGTCATTTCCTTTCCCATCTATGTATAATAAGGCTTAAAAACAATCGAACATGGATTCTGGGAAACCCCCTACACTGAAGTTTTCCAGGCTTGAGCTCCATCACGTGGCACAGATTCGACACGTGTTTGCCTGTTACTTGGCATAGGCCTCTTCCTGTTCTGTCTCTCTGACTTCCCAACTCTCCCATCTGCGTTGCTCTCGAGCTCTTTGTTCTCTCCATGTGCCATGTAGACTGGCTCTTGCTCACGTATGTAAGTCTCATGAGAATGTGTGGGAGCCTGGTGGGGTGGATTCTCCTGCAGCAGTCTGCTTCAATACATCCTGTACCTGACTTCTCAGGCCCTCAGGAACAGGCCAGGTCTGCTTATGGGATGGTTTCATGAGCAGATTCAACGAGGGGCATTGGGAACACGTGGTGGTGCAGGAACAGCCCTCAGTTGTGCCTTTGGAAGCATTACTTACATCCTTACACTTGCATATATTTTTGCCCCATGTGTAAGTAACTGCCCCGTCTTTCTTGTGTCTTCATACTGAAATGCAGCCAGCTGCTTGTTCCTGGGGGAACTTCAATGTGGATTAGAAAGCCCTTTTTCTATAAAAACCATTTCAAGACTGATTTTTCCTCCCACTTCCTTGTACTAGCAAGTATGCATCATCTGAAGCAGTAAGACAGAATTGCCCTGTGTTCAGGAGCACTGCTCCTAAATACCTCGTGTTATCCTTATTACTTTCTATCCTTGTCAGCTTTCCACTTTATTATTTGCATAGTCTTGAAATGTGTCACAAATCACTACCATTCCTACTGACTCAGTTACTGTTGCGTATTATTTGTCATAATTCAGTCTGGTTTACCTCTATTCCTAACATTGCTTTCAAATCCAAGCCATTTATCTCAGCCACGGAAACAAAGATTGAAAATGTAACATTGCAAACTGTAAAAGTTCATTACTTCACATCAAAAGGGCATTTTTATTTCTTCCACATACTGTGCAGTGGGAGCTCTGCTCTGCTGCGTGCCGGGCTTTGATTTACTTACAGCTGTAATTTCCTCTTCTGCTCTTCCTTCAGAGGCCCTGCACCGCCCCTATGGTTGCGATGTTGAACCCCAGGCACTGAACGAAGCCATTAGGTGGAGCTCCAAGGAGAACCTGCTGGGAGCCACTGAGAGCGATCCCAACCTCTTTGTTGCACTTTACGACTTTGTAGCAAGCGGTGACAACACACTCAGTATCACCAAAGGTGAGGATCTGAGTTGCAGAGCAGCCACAGGCCGTATGCTTAGCAAGAGAAAATAGAACCCTGAACGCTTCTGCTGTTGTTCCATTGGAAAGAGTGAGTGCAGTTAGAAATTGTTCTCAAACCAAGGATTACAAGCCTATGGTCCTTCTCTCTCCTGTGTTGGAGAGACACCTGCTGGGCAGTTCTAGTACTGGTACACCTTGGATTAACTGGCCAAGGATCTAAACCAAGTACATCCAGGCTCCCCAGCTCCTGGCTGTGAGACATCTCTGTGAGGCAGAGGAGAACCTTTACATTATCGGTGATAACAGAATTCAGGAGCTTTGAGCTGCAGCCAAATCAAGAATTAAG